TCCTCAAAACCCACTTTTGGAATTCTTGAAATTAGAGGAAGTTAGAGGCGATTTCAAACAAGTGGCTTTTTTTTCTTTGTCCAATAGGAGTAAGTTGCCAATCCTTTAGTGAAGGCGAGATTTTATGGGAGATATAAGGACAAAATCAATGTCATTATGAATAGAAAAGGATTTGAGACTAACCCATTGATAGGTATAGTTGAATTTTGATGTTCGAACGTGATATTTTGGGCTAACCTGATCAAGAGCTTGACCAAGAACCTTATTTTCAAGTAATGGGGCCAAATAGAACGAAGCAAAAGTTGGCTTTTTTCACAACTTTACACAAAGTGGTGAAAGAATTGACAAACCGTTCAAATCACCAACTTTTCCTATGCAAAAATTTTACTAACATTAAAATTGTAAACAATTCAAAATAAATAAATTATTTAATATTTTAAATTAAAATAAAATATATTATATTTAATAATTTAACATAAATAATTATAAATTATGTATTTAAAATAATTTTAATAAATAATAATTAATAAAATTTAAATTTAAAAATTTTTTATTAAAAAAATAAAATTTAACCGATGGAACCAACGATTTTGATAATAAAAACATAAAACTTTCAAATTCGGTTAGGCGTGAACAAAGGGTTATTGCCCCCACCAGACCGATGCGATTCGCCTTATCCAAATAAATGATGGAACCTTCATGTTTCGTGTTGAAGACTTATTTTGCACTCATTTGATGTGTTCTTTTCAAGGTGCACTTGTCACTAAAACAATTGTGGGAGAAAAAAAATAAAATTGGGTATCTAATTTGGGACAATTACAGATGGGAATTTGGGCTAAAAAAAAGTTTGGTTCTTCCGAGAAGTGCTCAACGTTAATCATTTGAATAAGATGCTTTTTTTTTTTTTCTCATTTTTATCACAGCTATTCACATGGGTTTTGAATAAAATGCTTGTGGATATTGATGTTTGGTAAAAAGATCAATTGACATTATTGAGGGTAGGATTTATCATGTTGTTTTTTCTGACTACTCATATGTTTCAATTTTTTAAAATTTTGATGGGACAAGAATGCGTTAAACTTGTAATCTTGTGAGAATTTATTATAAGATATGTAAATTTAAATTTATAAGATATATTTTTAAAATAAAATCATAAAATTTTCAAATAAAACATCATAAATTGAAGACGAGTCCCGGCAAAACCTGAATGAGTTTGTGCCGTAGTGGCTTTCATTCCCCAAATTCCCTTTCTCACCTCATGTTCCTTTGCCCCCCACCACCATTCGCTCAACCTAAAAATAGGCTTTCTTTCTTCATGGACCACGAAAACCACTTTTAAGCCACTCTTCATGGACCACCAAGCCACTTACAAATTGAGTCTTAACCTTCGACGTCTCCCTCCAAATAAATGGAAAATCCTAAGTCCTGGAATAAAGTATAAATTTGTAATTATATTTATACGAGTGATTCAAATTTCTCGTCAATATTTGAATTGGTGAGATATACAAATCTGCAATACTAACTTTCTGTGTTTGAATAAGATAGATATTTCAGTAATTTTCTCTTAAAATGGTGTTCCAAGTTCTCGTCAATGTTGCTAAGCAATTGAAGACAAATTACCAAGTAAAGAAATATATTGGATACAACATTTTAGAGAACCTACGTTTTTAACCTGCGAGTGAAAGCATGAAAAGAGATGTGAAATGGGGGAATGGAAGAGAGTTGGGGGTTGGGAATGGGCAGCAGAAGAAGGTAAAGGAGCAGCAAATACCCCCACAAGCGAACGTAAGTGACATGATAGATGAGGAAAAGAAGGTATCAAAGGACATAAAGATTGCACACGACCAAGGCTTGGCTTCGATGATGTTGTGTTTTCCTCTGTCCCTTTAATTTTTTATTATTATGTGATGTCACGCCATTTCCGTGCTTGAGGAAACTCTGACTTTCTCTATTCACTGATGTTGATGTAACACTATCACACTCACCCACGTGGAAGCCATGGAATGAGATTGAATCACAAGCTTGATTATGTGAGTTTTTTTTTTTTTGTCAGATTAGTCAAATTAATCTAGTTCAAGCTCAGCATATATGTTTTGGATCAATGTTTGATCGTAATTCATCAAATGTGTATCACTGTTTTTGCAAACTTACCTTCAATGCAACAAAAAACTTCAGAGGAGAAATTGCCTCTGTGGGAGTAACCGAAATCTAAAAGAGACTGAAATTTTCACATGATTCATGGCGGATATGCAGATATTCTTCTTCGACAACATAATTGTCGACAATAAAAATGTGATGAGGGAACAAACAAATGACTGCTTGTGTGCAGACAGAAGGAGAATCAAACATTACCAAATCAAAACATATCGCCATAATGCAATTGGGAAAACAATTAAAAACACGTGGTAACAACAAAATTAATGTCGGGTTGGTAAGCTAATAATAAAAAAAAATTGTCAGTTTTATGAATCAAAACTTTTTCGTGCTTGCAATGACAGCAATGTTAAAGACAAGTTTATTGAACCCAATAGTTGCATCTTTTGATTTCTCAGCAACAAGTTTAACAGGGAAACTGCTCCTTCTTTCTTTTGAAACTTGAAGCTAAATTTGAAATGTCTCAACATTCTTACATTTATGATTTCTCAAGAGATTCCATTATTATTCTCTCTGTCTCTCTGTCCATAGCTGTTTCAATCATCTTCATACATGAATTTCACATGTTTGGAGTCACTTTTCCAGGTTCATTTTCAAGCACAGTCATGTTTCCTTCTTCCCCAAATGGCAATCGGATTCAGGCAACAACCCCACTCATCCATCAGTCTGTAGCCTCCATTTGGCAAAACAAGTAGGATAAACCTTTCGAAGGAAGACAATAAATAATCTGAATCTAAGGAATTTCTTCAACAACAAATAATTTTGTTTAATGAGGGGGCAGAACTTCACTCTGCCACCACAGTTCTCTCTGCATGATTTATTTGTCAGGAAAAAACAATAAACAGTGAGAATAATGGAGATTAAGGTCACGAGAATTCTTCTTCATTCTCATTGCTAGCTACATATATTCCTGACATCGGAAAACAGTGAAGCTAGGTGGAAATCAAGAATGATGAAGGCTAGTCTATTCAAACAATTAGCACAATGCCATTCACATTTATAAGTTCTAATGACTGGTAACATCTTGTCCAATATGAACAGATTCACGTGGTCATAGGCATACTCATTTTGCAGGCATCAGAAATTTGTATTGTCAATAGAAAAAGATAGATAGTGATCGAATGCCATGACTTTCTCTTACTATCCTTCTCGGATTTTCTATTAAATCTATAGCCTTTAATTTGAATGTCCCAAAGGAAAGGAGGAGAAATGTTAACCATTACAATTTCAGATTTGAGATTCTTCCTACTTCTATACAATTTTAGATACTAAAAAAAAGGGGTTTAACCCAATTAAGGCTTTGAGATTTGGGTTTCGGATTGCCATACTTAATAAGTCCGTTATTTTTATTTTTGACGATTTAATAAACAGGGAATCAGATCAACATATATAAAGAAATGGAAACATCAAACATACTTCACAACACAAATGCATAAAAATGAATCAGAAACATCCAAAATGGATAGATTTACAAGCATTAAATCCCTACTTTATGCGGTAACTGACTAACTGGATTATTTTGAGAAGCAGAGTCAGCCTTGAAAGAGAGAGGAGCATTTTTGGTGGAGGAGAAGAGAACGGTGGTTTCGAAATCAATCAAGGACGTGTAACCAATGACTCGCGTCTCTGCCCCAAGATGATAGCATCTCTGTCCACTTTGTGGAGCACACTTGATGTACTGTAAGTTATAACCATGAAGGGGAAAAATTCATCCCGCGGTCCCATTGACACGCACATTAAAAGGAGGTCCTCGGCAGAAAATAGGGTCATCAGGCAATTCGCTTTTCGCTCTATCTCTTAAAACTTCGTTAGCAGCATCATTTATTACAGTACAGCAGCAGCAACCATCATGTACTCACAAGGGACAAGAAAAAAACAAAGAAAAACAATGTTTGCTCTCTTGAAATGGAGGAACCTCCATGGTGGTTCCACTTAGAATACCTGATAACAAATTATGCCAAAACATAATCAAACCCGAATTCTTTTGACACAGGCATTGTGGCAGAGATTAAGAGCGATAATGATCAACTTGCAGTTGATGCTATATGCGTTCTCAGCCCGGTTGAGTTGGTTTTGTACCGCTGTATCGAACATGTTGAAGAAAAATTGAAGCATTCAACATGATATCGATCCAGCATGCTTGATGGCTGTTGCTCAAGCCATTTATTGAGCAAAATCCTAACAACAACAACAGGCATTGAGGAATACCTGTTGCTTGGAGTTTTTAAGGTTAGGTAGAAGTAGCCAAGGCCAAAATCATTTTTCAATCTAGTTTATATTAAAATTTTCGTATGGGTTTTTTCCGCTTAAGTAATTTTTTGTTTTTTTTGGTGCTTTCAGTGCTGATGCAAATTGGATAAAAATGGTTCATCCAAAAGATTGATTCCTCATCAGTCATCACTGGCCAGTAATATACCTGTCTCTTTGAGTAGTTACTGGGGATGGTAGGATGGTACATCTCTTTGTCATGAAATGTTGAGTTTGTTAGGACTGATTAATCAATCAAATCTGTCTGATTGTTTTTTTGCCTCTAAATCAAGTTCTTTAGGTAGATACCTATTGTTTCCAACTTCCCCTTGCCCTGATGAATATATTAACAAAATTCACGAGTATTTTAAATTTCAATAATTTTGCTTTGCACATTTAACTGCTATCTTTTCCACATTCATCTATGAGAATTTAAGAAATTGATATTGATAATCAAAATGATAATCAACTATTGCATTATTCATCCAGCAGTGTTCTAACTCGAAATTAGGCAGTTGAGTGTGCAGAGATTGCTATGACACAACTTTTTCAACATACTACTGCTGCTATTTAACTAGTCAAAGGAAACACGCCGGACAAATGCTACTACTTAGTAACAAAGGTAAAGATCATGTTACTGGTCTAATTGGCAAAAATTTGGCTCATTTAAGAGATTTCACTAGTAAAGAAGATTATAATGAAATAGTACCATCAAGGATTCTGGAAAGTCATTTCTGAAATTCCTCCCCCGAGAAAAAGGAACAATTGCAAAAGGGGTACAGAAAACAGAGTTTGTAAGAACAAAATTGTGAAATTAGTTTCAAGAGGCTTACATAGGCAAGGCTATCAGGTTATCCCTATTTCGACATAATTCCGAAACAAAGAAGTAATGAGGGTTTACCCCGACGAATTTCGGAGGAATGTAGCAACCTGCATTGTGACAAGTATATCTACCATCTACAGGCTAGGATTTCAAAACTACCTTCAAAATCTTCTCTGTTAACCGTCAGCTTCTTCTGCCTCTACCAGGGTTGGCTGCTTGGCCTGAGTTGCAGTGTAGTTTACATTAGCAAATAAAATAGCTCCTTGGCCAGTGTCACTGTTTTCTAGTAAGTCCCCTCCACTTTCTCACACCCATTGGCTGCGAGAAGGGAAAGAAGTCTACTCATCTTTTCAGCTAGTCCCATATAAAATCTCAGTGACAGAATCATCTTCAGCAGGCATCATATTTAGATCAGGCAGTAAGAAAAAAGTCTCCTCGCTAGAAATTGCCTTGCCATCATCGCAAGAATCTGACAGTGGTTTCCGATCATCAATGGCGTGCAATGGCAATGTTGAAGGAATGTAGTCAAGAGAAGAGGGTACTCTCTGATTGGGTTGACAAGAAGGGACTTTCTCGGGTTCATCAGCAAATAAACCCGGGTTCTTTGCAGTGTGCAAGTTCAAATCAAGCTGCAATACAAGTTTACATCAAAAAAGAGCGCAACAGAAGAATATTTCTCAACAAGAAACATGGTATTCTATGATTAATAGTATTGTTTTTGGCCAATTATGTGAGTCAAATTCGTAAGATATTGATTAACGAATTGCCAAATCAGTATGGTAAAGTAATTGATGAAACATTTCGGCTAACCTTAATTCTTTTCAAGTTCTCATTCCTGGCCCTATGTTCGTTACAAGCGGCATGCATCGATGCTATCTCCTGTTCAATGAATAGATGAAGATGACTGTTAGATTAACTGACTGCATTCAAGAGCACAAGATGAGTTGACACCACGAAGAAGAAACCTCAAAACATACCTTCTTCAAGTAAATCATTTCCTTCAAAAGCTTATTTTCCTCCTCCTTAAGTTCAGCAAATGTCTGAAAAATGACAACAAATTCTTCTGAATTAATACCGGATGAGAAAGTCCATTGAAAAAGCATAGAATATAGTAAATCCTGGAATCAAATCCCAGCAATCCATGAATCATCATCAGACTTTTCTTAGAACCTTTTTTCCCAGGAAAATCATGCACCATAAAGATGAATTAAATTTACCTTCTTTCTTCTTGATCTCTTGGTTGTTGTGCTAGTGGTTTCATTAGCAGCAGTGCCCTGCAACATCCATCAACCAATCATCATAAATCAAGCCCAAGGCAAGAACTAACAAAACATTTTTGAAGATTTAAAAAAGAAATGCAATTAGATATGTGGGAATGAGATGATGAAAAAAAAAAGAGTAAAAATCCAATGTGGATAAACACTAGAGTAAAGTTTAAAAAAAGTTAGGGTCCCATCTCAAAACTCAAAACATGGATGCATTTGACATTATCCAAATTGCCATAAAATTAACAGACGCTGACTCACAGGTCACTTTTACAACTCCTGCAGTAACAATTAACCAACCCTTTCTTACATTATATTAAAACAAAAAAAAAGCAAAATCAGATGGCTTTCTCAAAGTCACAACGAGACACGTGCAACCTCTGAAAGCGCTTCCTTGCAGGACGGCTGGCGGACACAGAGTGGTGAAGGGGCTTAGAATTGAATGAATATTGACAAAAGCCGCCCCTTCTCACACAAGTGAACCAGTAGTAACACGCCACGTCACATTAACTTTAAGACCTTCCCTTATATTCCTACCTCTACCTCACGTGAGGTCTACCACATGACCCTTTCTGACATGGCCGGCAGATACTGGGTGTCAAGCTGTATAACCTAAGCTTTCCCGAGACCTAATAAAAATCTCACTTCCAAAAATTTCCAAGTTTTTCACCACTATTTCTTTGACGGCCCATGATCCATCCTATCCCCCAATCACAAATGTTGGACATCTGTGGGACCCATAGGCTAAAGACATCCCAATCTCGGAAAAGAGTAGATAAACACTCAGTTACAGATAGTGATGATGGGGATGGAAGACCCACCAAATTACATTGCACCCGCGTCACACCTGATAATCTCTATCTCTTCATAAACCAAGTAAAAACCTAACGAAAGGGAACATGAAATTATTGTCATCCATCCCTCCATCCGCCGCTAACAACATTACAACAAACCCAAAACGCAGACCTACGCTCCTTTTTCAGTGGACCCCACCTATCAAATACGTTTTATTGTGGCCAAAATGCACTCCGTCAGGATCCTCTACGGTGAAGTTTCCTGGCTCTTACAGTGGGAGGATGGGCCCAGCGAATACTTTTTCTCCTGACCAATTGTCCTGTACTGGAAAGCGTTCTGGTATTGTTTGGAAGGGGCGATTTAGCAAGTCTAAGAAGGACCAACAGAAGAATGACAGGTGACCGGAAAAGAAGCGAGAAGAAAACGTGAAGCAGTTCCATTCTGGCTATAGTGTGCTGACCTCAAATGATAATGTAAAATCCATAAACACACAAGGGTATTTTAGTCAGAACATTAAAAAGATGACACTGCCTGTCTAATGTTTTATTATTATCCTGTTAAACCGATGATCGGAGACATCGAACCCAAAGTTTTCAGTTTGAAGATGACGAGAAACGTAAAAATGGGTAGATTCATTTGATTACAGTCAGGTCTTGAAAGGGTAGTTTCGTCAGCTGCAAAAGGAGAAATCCATGCAATCGAGAAAACCAAAGCATCGGTTCACATGACGCGAAAAGAAATACAAACGAGTAAATAAGGAGATGATAAGGGGCTTCAATGGTCATTTGACCTGAAAACTAGGAAGACAGGAATGTCTCGTCGACGGGACACAAACGAAAAACCAAAGAACACAAAGCTAAAGCCACCGCTTCTTCGAATCCGAAAACAATGGTTGGTGACCCGTAATTTGACATGCCACAAGGGGTTTTGTTATCTCAGAGGAACGAGAAAGAGTGCAAGAGAGAGATAGAGAGAGAGAAAATGAAAAGAAACCTTGGATCTGTAAGGCGCAGCTGGTCGAGAGCCAAGGACGTGTCTGCTGGTCTCTTCAAAGCCTTCGGCAGCGGAAGGAGAGGCGGCGGCGCCACCACCGCTCCAAGAAAGAGGAGTGGTGGGGCTACCTCTAGTGCTGACTTTAAAATCTCCATCTCTCTCAGCGTCGCACCGCATCAGCATAGGTCTAGACCTGGGCTGACGTATCCCCCATTTAAGTCCAGCCACCGCAGATTTCGGAGTAGGAGGCGCGGCCTGCCCTTGCTTTAGCCTTACTAGCAACTCCACCACCACGTTGTCGTCCGTCATCGCCGCCCGAACCCACTCATCTTTCGCCGTCATCATCATTATCATCGTCACCTCCCAATAAAAACAAAAAGAGTCCAGATGTTGATAAAGAGGTGGATATGAAGAAAAGATATATGGGTTTTGCAAGAGAAAAGATATGGGAGAGGGTTGGCGAGGAATGATAGAAATAAAAAAAAAAAAAAAGATAAAAACGTGAAAGAAAGTGACGGAATATGGTGTAAGCAGTGTAGATATACGAGGGCGCCTTTTCTTTTCTTTTTTTTTTTTAAATAAAAATAAATAAAAGGTTTTTATTTAAATTATTACTAAATATTTTGAAAGTAGATTCCAGTTATTCGATTTGGTTTCTGGTTTTTCTCATATAAACAACACTTCTCCCTCACTTTTCTCTCCGCAGTTGTTAATAAAAAGGTCACGATAGAGAAGAAAGCGATGTGGGTTTGTGGGTCTGACTCTGACCTATAATTTTCGCTTTTTTTTCTTCTTTCTGAGTTGAAAAAAAGAGAGGTGGGGTCCAAGGATGAAATATGGAACTAGCAGGTTACAATTGTTTTTGGCTTGTAGGGCTTCAGAAACTGATCACCCACGGCTGATTCATTGCCTTTTTCATTGCTTGAACATGTTTGATGATACGAGTTATTTTGCATTTACCATCTAATCAGGAAATCGATATTCTTTCTCTTTAATACTATGTAGTAATAGCAGTAGCAGTCAGTGTAAATCACTTGTATTTGATATGATTATGAAAGGGAAATTAAACCCGAAAGAAGAGCAGTTCCTCGACTCCTTAGCTTAATGATCCAAAAAACAGACCCAACCAAATCTCTTTTCTTTTTTTTTGTCTGGGAGGGGGGTTCCTTCACTGACTTTATCACTGTGGAGAAAATGGAGCTGTCAGCTGTCTATTAGCTTTAAGAAATTTGAAATGTAATTTGAATGGTGTCATGCATGCAACTTTCCCTTGCAAAAAAGAGAAGGTGATCCAATGAACTGAAATCCATCTAAAAAACCCATAAATTTAGTAGCTGAGAGTAATTCATTGGGTGTAATAAAAGGTGCAGAATCAAACTGTGCAGTTTCGGACAAGTATTGGGTGTAATATATATAGCTTCGGCCTTTGAGGATCCTTTCAATGAGAACATTACTGGACAGCAGTCCCCCTATAGTCACCCCACTTACAAATTTCCCAACTCCAGCCAAAGTTGGTGAACCTTAAATTATAGACATAGTTCAATCTATTCAGCAGTAAAGAAACCTGTTTGATTTTGCATTTTTTTGGTTTGGTATAAATCTGAACTTTCCCTGCAAATTGCATTAGGCGTATAATGGATGCTTCCTAACCACATGGACAGTGAAAATCATAGCCTAAAATTAAAATAATCATTTAAATGTTTACAGTGTTTCTTCAAACCAAGCCAAAAAGAAAAGGAACTAATGGGGTGAAAGGTATTTTGGCTTAAGCCTTTGTGCCGTGTAAAAAACTTAAATTTGGTGAAAATTTGCACTGTTATTTTGCACAAATTGCATGTACACTGGATGGCCCAGTATTTGATGGTTGATGAAGTAGGACAAGATAGCTTATTTAAGAAAATTTGATGGAACCTGCACTTGCAGCTTGTTCTCTGTGAAATTCTGGTAAGGATTAAATTCCAAGACACCAACCATTTTTATTCCCTTGACAACAAATTTGGTTTTATGTACAGCATAGATAATGAGACAATGCCCTCTACCCTCCTTTTTCTTTATTTAGAAAATTTCAATTCACTTTATGCTTGTTGAAAAAAAGCCTTTTTTGATATATATAACAACAAGAAAAGTTTTGTAGCGCTTTGGAGTAAGGACGCTTGCTTTGATCCATGTTATTCAGGAATGATCCATTTAGAGCTACTTTAGGGTCGAGATTAGTTGGTTTCTATGCCACTTTCGAATCCTTTGCCATGGGCCTAACAAGGAGGCTCAATGGATGTGAGTCATGAAGCCATAATGGGCTAATACAGCCCAAGCCAGACTGAGAAAGCGTTGCCTGCCCGTCGAGAAAGGCTAAGACAGACGCTGTCCCGAAATCTGCTGTAATCCAAGGCCGCCAAGCTGGGCATTATCATCTAATAGCCTGATTTTATCTCAATCTCAGTTCCTAGACATCCTTTCTTATTGTACTGGAAAGCTGAAAGTTTCTAGGATCTGGCAGATCTTTTGATCATCAATTTCCGTTGATTCATTGGTTTGGACCCTGCAGGGTGTTGACAAATGAGAGCTTCCTTTGATCCTTCGACTATGTTCTAGAAGAAACTACCGCTTCTGTGTTGTTTAATCAAAATATCATCAAGCGGTTGGAACAAACAGACAGACAATGATTGAAGAAAATCCTTGCAGTTCCATCCACTTGCAGGAATTTAAACCACAATTGTTGAACCCAACACAACCAATATGTTACTAATTCAATTCAGCCTTACCTCGATTCTACGAAAATCGAGAATTGGCAGGGTCAGAAAACAAGCTTCAAAATCATTCATCTACCAAAAACACAACACCAGGATTTCACACTTAAGAAATCACTAAAATTTACTCAGAAATCAAATAGCAACTACATCATACCCGATAAGCAAGAGGGATATATAAATCAATTACAAGATTCACAACCCAAAACATTAACATCAAATAGAGACCCAGCAATCCAACACAAGTTACCCAAAAGAAAGAGAAAGGTTGACAGTACACACCATATTAAAGCAAACAATCTAACTAAATCTAACACAACGCTAAGCTATACAGCAGAGGAACTTGATTAGGAAAATTAAACCTACTTTCGATCTTTCCCCTTGAAAAAATAAGAGATGATCGAAAATCTGAGAACCCAAACGAGAGATCAGCTAACTCCAACAACTTTTAACAGCAGCCACCATTTGATTCTTTGCTATCGCTACAAATCAAGCCTCAATATCCTTCTCAAATCAGTCGTAGCATCAACGTTCTTCACAGCAGCGCCAGTTTTCTTTGTGAAAAAGGCCGGCATCGGAACAGAACTCGGAGGTGGCGATGTTATAAAGGCAGACCCAGCATAAAACGCGGCTGGTACGACCTTGTTTCTGTTTTTGTTTGATTCAGTCAGTCGGATCTGCATCGGAACGGACCCGGGATCTGGACCCAAACGGTTAGTGGAACCCAGATCTACGTCAACGTTTTCCTTTTCGACCCTTATAGGCTTTTCCGATGCCGTTTTGTTCAGCTCTTCGCCTCGTTTGAGGATCTTTACTTCACCCATGACGAGATTTTTGGCCGGCGATTTGGAGCCGACAGTGGGACGAAAAGTAGGGGAGGTGTTCGGAGTACGCTTCTTACGGTTTGGTTGTGTACGGTTCATCCGGTTAGGGTTAGGGTTAGGGTTAGGGCAAGCGTTTTTTGGGTGTTTCATGGGATAAGGTAGCTTCAGACAATCTTCTGGTTTTAGAACTGCAACACCCATGGCAGAACAACAAAGGGCTTATAAATTAAACAGATGAAGGCAATGAACAATTAAGAGAATTAAATGCTTCAGAAATGGAAATGGAAATTGAATGCAGATTTTCCGACGAAATTTAAGAAAATAATCAAAGTACAAAAAGAAATATTTATAAATAAAATATTAAAAAAAGGGTAATGTCTTCATACTAAGAATGAGAGGAAAATATATGAAACTACTGAGTGTTAGGGAAATAAGGAAGAAGGACCTTTATAGGGGGAGCTAAAGCAAACTGATTGCGTGGCCACATGGCCTATGGCGGTTTTAAATCCACTCTCATCGTGGCGGTGTACGCCAACTTTCTGCTCTCTTTTTGTTAGGACTTTATGATTTTTAATAATAATAATAATAATTATTATTATTATTATTATATTTTTTTCAAAGATTTTTTTTAAACATTCAATTTATAGTTTATAATATTTAAATAATTTATTTTTTTAAACTCACATTTTAAAATTAAAATTAAATTAAAATTTTAATATTTATAACTTTTTCTAAGAAATATGTGTAATTTTTTATCCTCAAACTGTAATTTTTTTACAAAAATTTATTTAATTCAAAATTAATAAAAATACATTGGAATTTATTAAAACTAAGATAATTTATCTTTATTTTTTACAAAAAAATATGACAATTTATAAAAAAATAAATTTGAAATCTCATTTTTTCAAAATAATTATATAATCAATTAAAATAAAATTTTTTAATAAAAATTACTGACTTCAACGTCGTAAGTATTTTCACTATTATAATTTCTTATTTTTTATTAATTTATTCAATTATTTAAGTAATTTAGAAAACAAATTAAAAGAGGGTAATTATTTTTCTTGAATGAAAATTATTTTAAAAAATAATTGTACATTAAAACATTTGACACGATGTAAAATTTTTTGGAATTTATGCTTGGCCGTGACCAATAAGCCGTTTATGAATTTTTTGTGGCAACAACAAAACAATTCAAGATTTTCGAGTGTATTATTCACGGAGAATAAGGCGCGTGGAAAGGAGTAGTTGGAGGAATTGCCCACCAAAACCTCGGTTACGATGAATGAGAGCGGTGTCTGACGTGGGTTCGAAGCAACCAGTGGCATAATTATCCAACGCCTTAGCATTTCATCCCTGTAATTTACTTTATTTACAAAAACGCCCAAGATTACCTATGGCTTAGGTTTTGGTTTTTGAATTTATTTGTTTCACATTGCAATTTTCAATTTTGTAAATATATACTAAAAAATGTGATACATCTTACATAATTAATTGAATTAGTTAAATATGGGCTTCTTAATATAATTAAGAATATAGGCCTTTTAAATAAAAGCTTTTCTTCATATGTAAGTAATGTTGTATTAATATCTTAATTCAGACTCGTTAAATTATAATTACAGAATTTAAGCTTCACTAAAATTAAGTTATTGAATTAATTTAGTTAATATCATTTTATGTAGTATTTTTAATTTTAAATGTAATCTTTTGATATTTTGTGTATCTCATATGTAATAAGATGTGTCATTATTTTTTAATAAAGAGAGTCTTTATACTTATCTTTTATATATAAAAAATTTGGCACATTAAATTATGTATTTTTTTAATAGTTAAAATTATCAAAATTTAAATAATAATCATTAAAATTAAAATTTTAATAATTTATCATCAGATCATATGACAAGATGACAAGTATTATATTTTCTGTTTTTCACATAAGTTCCATTCTTCCTTGCATGGCTTACTAAAGTTCGAATTAATTTTAATTAATTTGATAATTTAAAATACGATATATAAATTTAATAAAATAAAAAAATTATATTTAATATTTTTATATTAATAAAAATTATAATATATAATTTTTATGTAAAATATAATATAAATATATAAATTTATATAATTTATATAATACAAATATATAAATTACTAAATCTAATCGCTACCACCACCTGATGATTTCAATGCCACCAGCACTCAACGACAGCAGCTGCAACTATCACGATTTAATGGGTTTTAGCTCCTACCCATCTCAAGATTAGTTTTTATTTTCGTAAATTAATGACTTGATGAGTTTTGATTTAGTTATAACAAGTAAAATGTAAAATTCTTAAATAATAAAAGCCCCAAAGGCCAAAAATGAAAGCGACTAAGCCTTTTGTTGCAAATATTAAGTAAAAAAGAATGGGAAATCGAAAAAAATATCGGGCTGACACAGTCGACAACGTTTGACGTATTTAAAAATCATAATTACATTGGTCAAGCGATACCGCTTTTAAAAGAAATCAAAGGTTGCTACAGATATCAAGGGATAATAAATAAATATATTTATTATTATTCAATTTATTTATGTTAATTTTAGATAGTTATAAATAAATAATTAATGAATTTAAGTAAAAGATTTATTATTTGTGATAAATTTAGAGTGAATATAAATAATATTTTTTAAATATTTAATATTTAAATTTATATAAATTTTAATAAATAATAATAGATATCTAAATTTATTATTTGTTTAAACATATAAAATATATAAAATGTTATACTCGTAAAAATTTTAAATCTTAAAATATAATTTTATTTATTATTAATTAAAAGTAAATTTAAATTTTAAATTAAATATTTATTTATTTATATTTGAATAAAAAATTTTAATAAATAAATATTTTAAAGTATTTAAACATTTAAATAAATAGTGTATATTTAAATGAATTCAAATTTAGATAATAATTTTAAATTTAAATATATATTTAAATAAATTTATATATTATAAATATTAAATAAAGATATGAATATCTTAAAAATAATAAATATCTATTATATTTAAAAATATTCATAAATCAAATCAAATCGAATTCGAATTTGATTCAAATTTAATATTAATATTTTATATGTTTATCTAAATTCGATTCAATTTAAAATTTTAAGTCTTAATAAATTTTCAAATTCAATTTAAATTAAAAAATAAATTTTAAATTTACTCATTAAATTTAATTTATATAATAAAAATTTTAAAAAATAATTAAATTAAATTTAATTAGATTATATTTATTTTACATAAATATAAAAATTAAAAATAAAAATTAAGTTTATATAAATGTGACTTAAGTTTAAATATATAAAATTTTTATATATGTAGTATATAACCTTCAATCAGACTCAAATTTTAAATTTTTTATTTAAAATTTGACTTAAAATTTAAATAAATTTAAAAATTATAATTAAATTTATTTAACAAATTTTAAATTTTCATCCACATTTTCTTAAAATTTAGACGAACTTAGGCGGTAAGGACATGTGATCACTTATAAAGGTTACACGTGGCTCAGTCGGTATTGTAATTTCCGTGAAAATCAATGGGCATTTGTTGAACAAGAAAGGACTTTGGGATATGACTCAAGGAGGACAGCTGGAGCTAATTCATATGTACACGTTCCAAATGAGGAATGGACTGACGTAGACGTCATAAAAGGACGTGTGCCGCATGGGTCAGCTGACTTGCCTAGTCTTTGCCTATTCGATAATGAGCTAGGATGGCTGGAATTTTTACGGACCGGTCTAAGGCTTTTTACTTGGAAGCTTTCAAATAAAGCTTAGATCACTTTATGGCAATCATTGACATTTTCTTAGATGGGCCAAAGCTTTACTTTACTTTAGCCTTTTTTTTATTATTATTATTTTGAAATTAAACAAAAACAATACTGTTAATGGTCTTACGATCAAATTCAATGATTGATGCTTCGATGCAAATTCCATTTTCATTTTTATGTTTGTTAAAATTGGAGTGTTGACCCTGAAATTTTCATATTGTACATCCTCATACCTTTTGGTATTTAGGAAAATTGGACTTCAAAAGTTGGACATTGGGCTTATGCAAATGCAAAGCTTTGTGATTGTTGAGGATGCCCAACCTGCCCATCGACTTAAGGTTTAAGCCCTTTTTGCCATGGTTAAGGCTTATGCAAATGCAAAGCTTTGTGACTGCCGCTACCAATTTCGTTTTCCTACAATTTCATCCCGTTATTGTCATTTTTTCATATATATCTTCAGCTTATTCATATTGCGTCCATCTAAAAGCTATTTTGCATATCTTCGTTTCCAATAGAAATACGAAGAAGAGTTGAAGACAGATTTATGCTATCGAATGGAGTCGTCAACCTGAGACGCTCTATTTTCACGTATGACACAGCCGGGAAGCTCCTTAACATGGATGGAATGTTCGACTTGCAGCCATTGTTTCCACTTTCCAGCACAATGCAAAATTTGCTGCTTAAAGAAGGTTCTTCCCCTACATATACCCAAATACTTTCTTAACAATAATAATCTTTGTAAAGTTGAACCCATTTCCCTTCGTGGCTCAGGCAGTGGAAGCACAAAGGGAAATCGATACAAATATACAAAGAAAACTGGCGTAAATCAATGCATTTCTATAAAAATCATGTGTTTTTCATCCACGTTTAATTATGCTAAACGTTGATGAAAAAATAATTGGGTTTCCATTAAAAATATGCACAAAATTTCTAACCAATTGATTGTATTTCTTGGAACTTTATAAAATTTGTATAAATTTCAACTTAATATTATATATATCCACATGATTCATTGTGCTTGATTTAATTTTCATAAAATTGTCGGCTCAACTTGTTATCTGGAATAGATCAATTTGTTCAAACTTTAATAAAGTTATTATACCATAAGAATCTTACAATCAAATGATCCAAAATTTTGAAGGTCTTTTGGCAGTTGTAGCTTTATAAAGTAGCGTTATTTAATCATCTTCATGAAGTGTTGGGTTCTATGAATGTCCTACATGTCTCTAGCCACAATGTTCTTTAGATAATTCATGATATAACCACGTGACAACTAATACAATTTAATTAGTGATAGGATTATTATTTTTTAACAAGTAAAAAAAAAATACTTACTAAAATATTACTACGGAGTTCCCTTTAATTCAATAATAAGGTACGCGACATATATCAGAATTGGACATATATTTTGAACAGAAAAAAGAGATGTGGGTTGTTTGTTTATTGGTTGATTATTTTAAAAAATAAAAACATTTATAAACTTTTAATTCTGGCATTCCAAGGAAGAAAATATTGTTTTTTTTTTTTTTATCGAAAGGATGAAAATGTTGTTGGATATGCATTTTTTCTCAATTTCAATATGAGAAAGACTGGGTATTTGATATTAATGGCGTTTAAGTAACAGAGTGAAAAC